TTTCTTGGAATTTTGTGGTGTATCCATGCTTTAGTCAAAAAATGCAGGCTACATGTAAAAAAATGGATAATTTCTTGTGATTTTGTAGCATTTTCTTGTGACTAAAAAGTGAAAGGGGGTTGAATTTTCAAATATCTACTTTCTTTGAAAAAAATTAAAAATATATTTTGTTAAAGCATCGCTTAGGTTATTTTTATGGCATTATTCAAATAATAATAGGCTAAATAACCAACTTAGAAAAATCGATATATTATACTCTTTTCGCGCTTTGCTCTCCAAAGAGTAACTCTTAAAATTATCAATCATACTTGATGTACGTACATCCTTGTTTACATTTATACACATGGCTGGCTAACTATAATTTGACAGATTAAAAAAGTTTATTTTTTCATCCAATCAATTTTTGATAATCATGCAAATGTCGATATACAAATTCAATGTAGAAATGACAAAACCTTAATATTATTGGGTAGGGATTTTATTTTAACTAAGGGTTCGTTTGGTTTCAAATGTGAAATTTGGGTGGAAAGAAAATGAATTATAGGGAATTGAATTGTCTAAAATTTGTTTTACTAAGAATTATAATTAATTGTGTTTGATTGGTATAATTTTTCACTTGAAAAATGTTGAAAATTTGATTTTCGTTTGGCTTCATTTTTCATGGAAATTGTCCATTAAAGTGATAGTTTTTTTACTATTGGGTCTAAAATTGTTCCACTTGAAAAAAAAAACTAAAAAAAAGTTATCATACTAATATCATTCGTTTGTTTTTGTTCTGCATGGAATTGTCAATAAAAGTGATAATTTTTTTTACCATTGTGTCTAGAATTTTTTTCAATTACCAAAAAAAAAAAAAAAAAAACGGAAAAAATTTTACAAAAAAAAAAAAAAAAAATTTATTTAAAAAAAAAATTTAAAAATTTTGAAAATTTGAAAAAATCTAGAATTTTTTTCAATTACCAAAAAAAAAAAAAAGAAATAACCTGGTGGAAATTGGTTTTTCACAAAATCAAGGAATGTGGCACGTGTGAGACAAAAGCAAGAAAAGGCATTCCACGAGAAATAAAAAAGGTATCAAACAAGCTAAAAGTAAGAAATAGAATTTGGATTCCATTTTCCATGGAAAAGATTGGTCAATCGAGCAGGCTTTGTGATTTCGAAGGTTCCAGCTACATTAGTATCAGGAACAGAGAGTTTTGCCCTCTTTTCGTCCAATTCTTTTATTTTAAAAATGTTGTTTTTTAATAATATGAGTGATTGATCTTTAACATACAACCTAAGAATATACAAATATAGTACAATAATACTGTGTGCCTAAAGAAATCTGGGAATATGTATTACTTTTTTATTTATGAAATACAAAAAGCTTTTAATTTAATTTAATTGTTGATACAGAATCATTTTTTACTGCATATTATTTTAAAAAAATACTATTCAAAACCATGTTTTCAACTTTTTAAGGCCACCAAACAGAGATAAAAGATTTTATAGTACAATTCTTTTTCATATGTATAACAAATGTTTCTTTGTTGTATTTGCTTTCAAGTGGTTTTATTCTCTAGTTCTTCTTGTATTTTTATGTACGTTTTGTATTTACAATAATGCCACTAAGCACGCAGTTTGCGTGCACCACCAGTGCTTCCAAAATTCAATGCAAATAGACAAAGACAAGATTCACCCACCCACTCAATTTTATGTACACGTCACTTCTGTTTTTGAACATAGCCCTGTTTGATGCACATTTTGAATCCAGAATGCATTTTTTGTTTGATGTAATGGGGAATGTGTGATTAAAAAAGAATGAAAAATTATTGATGTGATTAAAAATATTATTTTATTGAAAAATGTGTAATTGAAAATGAGTAAAATAATGATAATGAAAAAAATAATGTGATTCAAATAGGACCATAATCTATCTCGATAATTTTAATCAAACATCTTGTACAGTTAAATTCCACGTTTTCATTCCTTCGATTGCAAAAAGTGGAGAAATCAATCATAAATATCAATATATTTAGCCCCCGTTTGTTTTTCATTTTTCATCCATAAAAATGAAAAATATGATCCTTATCCATCACATCAAATCATCAATTTTGAATTTCTATCTCTTATGTAGGGTTCAATAACGACTATATTTTTCATTCTCATTCTGGCCCTTAATCTTGAAAGTCACGGATAGTTCCAAAACTTGACTTAGAGTCAACTAGGGCTTCACATACTTTTGTTATAACTTGACTTCGAGTCAACTGGGATTCTTGTAGCATGCTGATCAAACTACACTTTTATCTATGTAAGATTCATGAATCTTACCTACATGTCCTACAACATGCCACTCGGTGTGAAAGCAAACATTTTGAATTAAGGGATATAATCAAACTTGTGAGGTTGATAAGGACCCATTTACACATGCTTTTAGAATCATATCTCGAACATTAGTATCATAAGTCTATAACGAAACTTTTAATCCAGAATTCAAAGGAAGTTGTGCAACATCAAGTTCAGATCTTTCATTCCTAACATCCACGACATTAGGTTCAACTGGAATATCTACAAGAATAGTTTCATCCACAAAATCCATTTCATGATAAGTCCGTCATCCCTTTTAGTTTCAACATCATTTTCATCCATTTTATCATGAACAATACTCAATTAATGTTTTTTTTCAACACAAGAAAACGCAGATTTACGTTTAAAGCATTTGTCCATAATTACAAACAATCAATTCAAGTAATCGAAAGAAAAACATACAAGTAATATTCAATACTAATAATCAATTCAACTAAACACGTTCCAATAAATGTAAAACAAATTGAACAAGAATAATATAACATAAATCATTCACAATCCATTCTAAATCAATTTGATACAATTCAATGTAAAAAATTCAAAAATCATTCATGAACATAAATCGAACGTAATGAAAACGAATTATAAATATAATTCAAATACATTTTCTCTATCATTTTGAATTTTGATCAAAGAAAATAAAAATTTGAAATTATATTAGTTATTGTTGTATGTCACTAATTATCTTTTAATTTTCAAAGGCAAAATAACTTAAGTTGACTATCCCTTATTTGATCCTCTTTATTTTCAAAATATATTTTTCTCTTTCTTCTTTTAAATCACATTTTTCAATAAAACAATATTACGC